ACTCACTCGTAAAGAAATCTGATTTGTTTTTGTCATTTCTTATTTTTTTTTTATTTTCTTCTGCTATACTTTTGTAATATTTTACTTTCGTCCAATATAAATGCAATAATAATTCCTTAAAACAAACTCTTTTCTCTCTCTCTCTCTCTTTCTATTTCTCTTTCCTTCAATCTTTCTTTCTTTCTTTCTTTCATTCTTTCTTTCTTTCATTCTCATTTTCATTTTCTTTTCGTTTGTTTGTTTGTTTGTTTGTTTCTTTGTCGTCCACTAACGAGTTTAAGGGCTTTATTTATATTTCATTAATTCTCATCTGAGAGACAAACGCGATGAAATAATTCATCATAATATCATAATTATAAACAACTATACTATATGAAATTGTGGGTTTTTCACATATTTGTTTGTTTGTTTGTTTGTTTGTTTTTTTTCTTTCCACCTTATCTATCCTTATATTTTCTCTTTCGCGATACATAGTTTTATTTATTCTTCTTTATCCTTTGTGTTATTTTTTTTTCCTTTCCCCCCCCCTCCCTCCCTCCACCCTCCCCGTTTATTTTTTTCATGTCTTCTCGCACATTTTATTTTTCATTTTCTCTTCTCGTTGTGAGACTGACTGACACATTTACTTTTACTCTCAACGCGAATAGAAAATAAAAATAAAATGATGCATCTTTTTTATTCGTGCGATTCCCTACTTATGCTTATATATATATATATAATATATTTATATGTGTATATACGCATGTATGGATATATCTATGTACATGTATCTTATATGCTAGTACGTATGCACTCGCATATCTTATTTACACGTGTTTATTATATATGAGTGAAAATTTGTAGCATTATTTCTCGTACATACATACATTCATACATACATACATTTATTCATTCATTCATTCGTTCGTTCTATTTTTTTTTCTCTTTAACACATACAAGTTCATTCGTATTATTCGAACACATAATCCTCTTTTCGTTTAATTTTATTAATTCATCAGATTCTCGTGAGACACACATAGACACACAGACATACAATTTTTTCTCTAATTATTATTTATTTTTATTTTTAATATCTCTCTCTCTCTCTCTCTCTCTTTCTTGAGTTTCGTAGAATTGTTTTGAGACCATATATATGTGTACAACCAAGGTACATAATATATATATATTTATGGTGGTGTGTGTATTACATATATATATTTATATATATATATATATAAGTATTGTATTTACATAACGGCGAGTTACAATTTAATGGTACTTATTTTATTTAATCATATCAAGGAGGAACATTCGTTAGAATATTACTCGGAGAGAAAGGGAAAACAAGTTATACAATGATTTCAATTATTATCATAATCATTTTACATTTATTCCTCTTCTCTCTCTCTCTCT